TGTAGGTTTTGCTTCAAAATATTATGGGCAATTTAGCTATATATTATGTGCAATTTAGCTACATATTATGAGAGAAGTGAATGGGATATAAGTTTGTCCATATATCAGTAACTTAAAGTTAGGTTATGATTCATGGTAGTTCATCACAGTTTAATGTGTTTAAAATTGTAAACATAAAAGTTAAAACAAACAAACTTCACTATACTTCCTAGCCATATTTGCTTCTCCATTGCTTTTAATTCTTATAATTTTTCCAATTTAATGTACACTCAAGCTATACTCTTTTAAAACTAAACACATATATCTAACTAGTTACATGTGGGATTGAATTTAGATAACATGACCAATTTTATACAAAAATGCCTTCCAAATTCTTATATCTGACCTGAATTAAAAGTGTTGTACAACTTGCAAAATCAGTCCTGTCATGCTGGTTTGCACTGTTCTTAATAGGTTGTAGCTGAGTATTCAGCATTGCTTCTAAGTGTTCTGCAATGGAACAGGTTTAGTTTTTAACTTATCAGATGTTTTATAAACTAGTTATGGATCTAGTGTATAGATCCACATGCACTAGATTCATAACTGCTGAGCTATATAGATCATTTTCTCTTTTGCTGTATAAATTGTATGCAACCAAATATGTCAATAATAAAGTTGACATATGTTCTATAATGTATCTTTTTTTGTTGTTTTACTTCAAGAACCTTATTGACAAATTCAGCATGCACCTTTAATTATTTTTAAGGGGTAAGGGACTATTTAATTTTTTGAAATAAGAGAACTTCAATTTACCCATTCTTGGTTTTGATTGATTGATTGGTTCATTCATTGATTCATTCATTTAACAGGCGACAACTAGGCATCTATTAAGTACCAGCTATTGTTCTAGACATGACGTCGCTGCCGTGAACAAAACAGATAAAAAACACTATGCTCATGGAACTTACATTTTAGTTGATGTCTGACAAATATTACAAATGACTAATAAAACATGTGGTATATTATATCATAAGTGCAATGAGGAAAAGTAAAGCTGAGAATGTTGAAATTTAATAGTAGAAGAGGGGTGCAATTTTAAATAATGCAGCCAAAGAAAGATTCAGTGACTTTTGAGTAGAGACTTGAAAGATTCGAAGGAGCAAGCCGTGTGGACATGTAAGAAAAGCTATTCTTTTCAGGAAAAGTATAAGTCCTTAAGTTTTACTCATTTTCCTCAAATAGACTTCATTTAAACCTCTTTCTATATAGATATTTAACATTAAAATCCTATTGACACTGTTAGATTTATTAAGTACCTTCTGTGATATAAAGCACTGGTTTACAAAGCAGCACAAGAAATGGTATCTCTTAAGGAGTTTGTATGCCAGATAGGGATATCTACTAAAAATTAATATAAGCAATTATATAAATGCTGGTGAGTGTTAGATTCTTTATTTAAAAAGAGGAAAAAAGAAAAATCCCTGAGGAGCTCGCTTAACCACATATAATCATAGTAAGGAAAGAGGTGAAACTTAAGCTGGGCCTTGTAAAAATAGGTAGAATTTATATTAGCATAAACAGTTCTGTGTTCTCTCTCTCTCTCTCTCTCTCTCTCTCTCAATCTACCATATGAGGCAGATATACCAAAGTCTCATTTCTCATCTAGTTCAATGTGTGTGTGCATGTGTCTATTTCCCCATGGCAGCATTTCAATTAGACTAGCTTGAACAACAGCACTGAGTAGAATGCTGGGAACAGTAAATACAATAGATAAGTTTAGATAATGTAAAGCTGAGAAATGAGGGAGGATGAAGGCCTGGGCAACTGTCTGGTTATCTATTGCTTTGCAGTCTACCCCAAACCATAGGGTTTTAAAATAACAGTTTATGTGTTGACTCGGTTCATTGGGCAGTTCTGCCTTGGTGTCGGTCCCACTCATTAAGTTGCAGTCAGATAGTGGCTGAGACATAAAGGTTTCTCAACATACATCTGGTGCCTGGTTGGTGATGGCTGGAACAGATGAGGATAGGTTGGTCATGTCTTCACATGGTCTTCCTAACTTGAGATTCCTCATTTAATAGTGGTCTCAGGGTGGTAGTACAACTTCTTACAGGTAGCCTATTTTCTCCAGAGCATCTTCCCAGAGACCTCGTCCAAGGCCAAAGCTTCAAGGCTTCTTGAGACCTAACTTAGGAAATAATGCAGTGTTACTTCTGCTGTATTCTCCTGGTCTGAGAAGTCAGAGGTCTACTCCAAAATAGAGAAACGGACTTTACTTCTCAATGAGTAAATGGCTGAGCACAGTGGTAGGGGTTGAGGTAGCTTGATGGCAACCACCTTGGAGACAAACTACTGTACCACTTTACATTTTTCCCTACCCCTTCACCCAAAAATGTGTATTAAAATAAATATGCAATCTAAGTATAGTTATATTTAGATTTTATTTAATTCTTAGACTAAAAAAATCCATTCATATTTATCATGGTTTGACTGTCAGCAAACTTTTTTATTTTCGTGTAACTGGAATATTTCTTGATTATAATAATTTCTGCTAATATACTAATATATACTAAAATATATATTCAAGTATACTAATTTTTTCATCTATCAGAAATTGGCATTGTTTTCTCAGGAATTTCTTGAGCTTAGAATTCTAATAAGGGGATTCAATTATTTTGTCAACATGATTGTAATTTACAAAACGACCATAATTGGGATGGTACAAAACTGGAGTTTGGGGGCTTTTGGTGCTATAGCTGTAGGGGTGCTATACTTAACATCTTTCTGAGCTGTGGAACTCTTTCTGCATTTTTGTTTCCTGGTAGAATTTGGAGGTGGGGGTGACAGATTAGATATGTTTAAGAAGCCTAAAGTCTATATTTGGAAACCCTAAAGTTCTTAAAAGTGCCACATTTACTCTTCTTTTTTTTTTTGAAATTGACAAAATAAGAAATTATTCAGAAAAAAGTTCATAAACTTTGGATTGAATCTATACACACATAACAGGATACGCAATGTAGTTTTCATATTGTCCCTGAATTATAGCTGAAAACAAAAGACATTGAACCTACCTTCTTCTAAGGGCAGAGAAACAGCCAGTAATAGGAGTAACCCCCAGGTACCCCCATCTTTAGCCCACTGAAAAGTGCCAAAGAAGAAAATAGGCCCCTCCCTGCCCATTTCCTTTTAGGAAGCTGAAATCTTTAAGCAAAGATACCTGTTAACCTACTTCTAGTTACTCTAGGAGATACAAAACCAAACAATTGGGGAGAGATGCTAGAATATGCATGTTGCAGGTGGTGGTAGGGACTGTCAGTTGGAGATGGGGCCAAAACCTTCTTGCTTAAGTTTGCAAATTCAAAGAATTACAATAGTTGCAGCCTGCACATGCCTGCACACCTGAGAGTTGGCCATGATGAGACAAAATTGATGCCTCTAATCTTGTTGTAAGTGGTGCCTCCTGAGAGCTTCCTTAACAGAGCATCCTGGATTTACATAAGTGGCCAGTGAGGAAGACGACTACTGCAGGCTTTCCTGGTTATAGCTTTCCCCCTCTCCCTATTTTTTTGTCCATCACAAGAGGAGAAGGTACAAAGGAAACACAGAGAGGTAAAAGTGCAGGAAGGGTGTGCCTGGTGCCCAGCTCTCACTTCCTAAGGCTGAACTACCAAAGGGAGGAAAACTTTTAGATACAAGATTCAAGTTTTAAAATAAAGTGAAGTGAGTCTTATAAATGGAAATAAGACTGGTTGAAAAAGTGATAGTGATTGAAACATTAAGGCATGAAGCCAAGATGTTAACAAATGTTTCCCAGTGTGAAAGGGGGCTTGAAAGAACAAAGATAAGTTAGATATTACAAAAATGAAATTGTTTGATTTCCTATATATAACATATATGTATATAGACAGCATATAACATATAACATATAATGTTATATATACAGACACACATATATAGGAAGGTGGGAAGTACCAAAAATAGAGTCACAGAATTTATGAGTCACCATGAGATTTACAAAAAGCGAGAATTTCAAGCTAGGAAATCAAGAGACGTTTCATTGAGGAGGTGACTTGTAGAATGAGCTTTGAGAAACGGGCGGGCATTTGGGCAATGTCTAGTTGGGATACAGGAATTCACAGGAAGGGAAGAGCTTGTGCAAAGGGGGCAAAAATGGAACATAATTGCGGCACGGAAGTACTGAACTGACTTAGAGGACCACTTTGTAGTCCAGGTTGGCAGAGACATTAGGCTGTGTGATGGAGATGATACGGATGGATGGGCAGTTTACATCAAATAGTGGTGGTGACTGAGGTCAGTGGTGCTAGTAGTCAATTATCGCTTGCTGAACGAATGAATAAAATGGAGTGCTGGCCAGACCAGGTGGTGGAGCCTTGCTTTTTTGTACTAAGCAATGGACAGCTAGTGAGGATTCTCTTTAGAAGAGAATCGCATAGGCTGAATTATGTTTCAGGAACATTACTAAGAATCCTCTCATTTCTACTCTTGGAAGAATTAGCCTAGCTAGAAGGTTTGACCAAAGAACAGTAGCAGGACCTCTCTAAGGGGCACACTCCAACCTCTGCAGACACTTCTTTTAGGGGACCCTAGTTGACCCCAGCATCGACACTTGCTGAGGACTCCTTTCTACCCCTAGATTCTTTCTGGCATTTCCAATCCACTTGGGCCACTCTTACTCCTTAGAATCCATTTCTGGCAGGGCCGTGAGAGTAGACAGACAGTACAAGACGCCCAGGACCGGAGGGACGCTGGGTCCCTGCAATCACCCATTCCTACCATGACGACATGAGCCTTGCTGGATCGCGTTCCCAAGCGTCAGTGGCGTCTGCTCCGAGCCCTCCATACTACAAGGGGGCGCACTCGGTCACTGGCCCACCTAGTTCCCTGGCGCGCGCTCTCCTTTGCCGCGCCGTGCTGGGCCACATCCTCGAACCCAGAAGCCACGTCAGAGTTCCACGACGACCAATCAGAACTGCCTATGTACTGACGGGGGTGGGGCTGCCGAGACAGGAGGAAGATGGCGGCGGGGGCGAGGTGAGGTGTTGGCAGTAGAAAGGGGGCCGGGCGCGGGAGGCGAGGGAACGCGGAGAGATGGCCCGCGCCGGCCGCAGGGGTAGGTAAGAAGTCGTCGCGCCGCGGGTGTGGGAGGGTAGGACACCTGGGCGCAACGGGAGTATGACGGGGCTGTACGAGCTGGTGTGGCGGGTGCTGCACGCTCTGCTGTGCCTGCACCGCACGCTCACCTACTGGCTCCGCGTTCGGTTCGGCACCTGGAACTGGATTTGGCGGCGCTGCTGTCGCGCCGCCTCCGCCGCGGTCCTAGCGCCACTCGGCTTCACGCTCCGCAAGCCCCCGGCTGTAGGCAGGAACCGCCGTCCTTACCGGCACCCGCGAGGGGGGCCGGGCGCGGCCGCTCCCCATCCCCGGCTGCGCTGGCGCGCGGACGGCCGTTCCCTGCAGAAGCTACCTGTACACATGGGCCTGGTGATCACTGAGGAGGAGCAGGAGACCAGCTACTCGGACATCGCAAGCCTCGTGGTGTGGTGTATGGCCGTGGGCATCTCCTACATTAGCGTCTATGACCACCAAGGTGAGGCTCGGCGCGGGTAGGGGGACCGGGGCCTCTCTGACCGCGGGGACCTTACATCGGTCCCCAGAGCGCACCGCTGATCGCAGCTCTTCCCGCTCCACGAGTTTCCCGTTTCGCAGCCCTTAAGTGCAAATTACAGTGTTAGAGCTTTCCAAGGAGGGAAATAAGTTTTATTGAACACCTGCTAAGTCCCTGAATTCCATTCAGTCGCTTTCTGTACATTTAAGAAATATTTATTATTCTTAATAATGCCCCAGTAAGGTAAATGGTATTTGTATTCCTTTGTTTCACAAGTGAGGGAGCTGAGGATCAACAGCATTCACTGATTTTGTCCAAAGTCACAAAGGTAATAGGGAAATTGAAATTTTAGCCATCTGTGTTTTTCTACATATTTGCCCCTTTATTACTGCAGTGTTTCTTCAGAGAAGTTCAAGGCACTGATATTATGTCACATTCAGTCTGTGGAGGTTTTATGCTTAAACTGAGTGGTGGGGCCAGGTTATGGTAAGTATGAGAGACTGAACTGGCAGACATGAAAACAGTCATCTTATGTCTTGAGAGGTTTGAGATGGATCCCTGATTCTCAATGGCCAACACAGTACTTGACATGATAATGGTCCTCTCATAGTTTTGACTGAGGGAATGTTCACCATAGGAAATTTTTGTAAACACTGATCAGGGCGCTACAAACCTAAAGCACTGTACTAGGCATTATCCTTGGAATCTTACATTTAATTCCATGGACCCTCAGGCTTACAGGGATTAGACACATACTCACATAAGTGATGTGGTCAATAACAAGAAATGCTGAGAGTAAGGAACCACTCTGAGGAGGAAGAGAGAAATCCTGAATGGAGGAACTTGAGAAGTTTAGGCAGAGAGATGGAATTTAAGCAGAACATGGAATTTATATGAGAAAGATATGGTTAAGGAATGCTCTAAATGTCAGGTTTGAGTTTCAGTCAGATCCTGAAAGCAGTGGAATTTCCTTAGAGATAATGATGTGGTGAAAAGAATGATTTGAGAGCCTCAGTATGAAGGACAGAAACGAATATTTTATTCTCTGTTCAAAAAGTTAAATTACTGGTATGCTCCACAGAAACTACAACTTGATTTTTAATCTTAAGTCTTTGTCAGATGGGTAGGTTTAAGTGTGGGATTTTGTCGGAAAGGGTACTAACTCTAACAAGGTGTTAGAGTAATCTTTGATGACCAGGTAGCCTGTCAACATCAAACAATGATTTTTCCAGTAAGGTAAAGTTTAATGTACTCAGCAGCGGACACTTCATGGAACTTGCCAGAGAGTGTGGTAAAGGAATAGAAATCATGAGACTGTTATGAGGCAATGTAATCTTTGCTTAAAATAATGCAACAGATAGATATATTGTCTCAGGAACAAAATAAGTGAAGCAGAAATGGAAATTAGTTAAAGCCTTTAAGCAATGACTTGCAAGTGAGTCACTTATATGTAGGTGACTTTTTTAAAGCAAGGTCCTCCACCTTCTAATAGGGAAGGAAAATGTGTAGCTAAGTAGTTTAACTTGATGACTGTGCCTGCTAACAGATGATAATATAGCTACACTTCCTTGTTCCGGCAATTCCTGTTAGTGAATTGCTGATGAGATTTAGAAACATCTCGTGTTATATTCTGTAAAAGAAAAATGATTGGTAATGAAAAGGGAGAAGTCAAGCTGACCAAGTACTGACTGAAAACCGAAAGGAGCTTTAAAGGAGCATTTTCAGTGAATGGATTTAGAGCTCGTGGTATCCTACTACAAAAACAATTTTAATTACTTCTTAAGAGATAAAGAGTAATTTCATTGTCTAAAATAAGATACTTTCCATTTACCCATTCTTGATTTTGATTGATTGAATCATTCATTCATTTACCAGATGACAGTTGAGTATCTATTAAGTACTAGGTACTGTTCCTGACATGAGAGTACACCAGGAACAAAAAAAGATAAAAATCCCTGTGTTCATGGAACTTAAACTTTGGTGCAAGTCTGACAAATATTATCAATGAGTAAAATATATAGTATATTAGATTATAAGTGTAATGAGGAAAAATAAAGCAGGGGAAGTGGGATAGAATGTTGAATGCCCATGGTAGAGGAGGGGTGCAGTTTTAAACAGTGAGTGGCCTTGGAAAGCCTCAGTGACTTTTGAGTATAGAGACCTGAAAGATGTGAAGGAGCAAGTGTGGACGTGTGAGAAAAACTATCTTTTTTCAGGGGAGGTATAGATCCTTAAGCTTTACTCAGTTTTCGCCAACAAACTTTTATTTAAGCTATTTCTATATAGATGTTTAACTTATGAAAAAATTCTGTCGTCATACTCATAAATGCCAGATTTATTGAGTACCTTCTGTGCTATAAAGCACTGGGAAACAAAGAAGTACAAGAAATGGTGTTTCTTGAGGAGTTTATACTCAAATTAGAAAAATTACTAGAAATTAATACAAGCAACTATATAAATGCTAGTGAGTGGCACTTTTTAAAATGAGTGTTCATTCTAATTATAATTTGATCTGGATTATATTTGCTATAAAAAAATCCATTGATATTTACCCTGGTTTGACACTGTCAGCAAACTAATCCTTTTATTTTTATCTCCCTGCAATACTACTTGAATATAATAATTTCTGCCAGTATGTCTTTCATCTATCAAAAATTAGAGGTGTTTCTCAGGAATTTCTTGAGCTCAATTCTAGTAAGAAGACTTGGCTATTTTTTTTCCTACGTGATTATATTTCAAGAAATGACTGTAACTGGAATGGTACAAAAATTGGAGTTTGGGGCTTTTTGTGCCATAGCCAGATGGGTGCTATGCTTGCTTAGGTTGTACTTGAAGGATGCCTGGATCCAAGTTATCTGGATATGTGTGATTGTCTTCAGTGATGGAATCTGTTCCATTAGTGCCATGCTGGAAACCTTGCAGTAGGATAGTATTTTTAAAATGTGGTCTCTCAACCATCCTGTGAATGAGTCTGCAGGTACTTATAAGAAATACAGGTTCAACACAGTTATCGATCTGACTGCTTAGGGAATGGGACCTTATTATCTCTCTATTTTTATCAAACAATTTATACACTGTTACACTGAAGTTTGACCCTAAAACAAATCAAAGCATACTTTGCTGCTTACTTTAAATCAAATTATTCATCCTTCATGCTTCTTTTCGTTAGTAAGGATAACCTGGGTGTCTTAATATTACTTACTATGAATTTGAGTGATCCAGAATACAGCTTGCCTTCTGTGTGAGAATTCAGTAAAAGACAAAAGGAATCTATTTTGTATTTCTTTTTAGTGTTGCGTCCATAGTTGTAAATCTGCACTAGGTGTCTTATGAAATGATTTTGGGTACACATTTCTCACACTTGCAAGTAAAAGGTCTGCCTGGTATACTGCCGACCTTCCCGACCTATTTCTTAATATTTTAGAGACCTTTTGCTGCATTTATAAATAGGTTACTTGATGTTCCCTCCTCCTGAAGTGTCCTCTTCTTTTCCTGACAAATGCCTATCTTTCTGTCAAAAGGCCATCACTCATCCTCGAAGGCCATCCCTCATCCTTGAAGGCCATCCTGTCACCTCTTAGGTAGTCTCTCTTTATTATTTCTTCCCTAATGTTGCTTTATCCTTGAATCTCTTTAAAACTTTGTACATCTCTAAAAGTACTTTTGTTCTCTATTTTGTAAAGTATTAGTCATATGTATGTCCACCTGAATTTTCTTCCTAGAGTGTAAGCTCCACAATCTATCCTCATTTTTATTCTGCAGAGTATCACTTGGTGTTATGCATCTAATGGCTCGTCAGAATATATTCCTTGAATTGAAAGGAAGGCTGCATTTTCTGTAGATGAGAATAATAAACTTAGTTGGAATTTCTCAACACAAATACTACCCCAAAGCCTCAAAATAATGGAGAAAAATGAACATAGTTTTTACCTTGTTTAGTTATTTGGCACATTGACACATGTTATTGGCAAATATTTTGAAATACAGAGTTGTTGGAAGTGTTGAAAGTCCAAATATAAATGGGATTACATTTTAATATACCAAACAATGCAAACTAGTGTACCTGGTTTCCTTTATGTGGTGACTCATGTAAAGGAGCATTCTTTCCCT